GCAGCCACCGTTTATGCATTGAAGATTTGGAGGCATTATCTCTACGGTGTGTCTTGCGAGGTATTTACAGATCATCGGAGTCTCCAGCATTTGTTCAAACAAAAGGATCTAAATTTAAGGCAGCGGAGATGGTTGGAGCTGTTAAAGAACTATGATATCACCATTTTGTATCATCACTGGAAGGCCAATGTGGTGGCCGATGCCTTGAGTATAAAGGTGGTGAGTATGGGTAGCTTTGCATTTATCCCTGTTGGTGAGAGACCACTTGTAGTTGATGTTCAGGCATTAGCCAACCAGTTCGTGAGATTAGATGTTTCGGAGCCCAGTCGGGTTCTAACTTGTGTGATTTATCGGTCTTCCTTATATGATTGCATCAGAGAGCGCCAGTATGATGATCCACATTTGCTTCTTCTTAAAGATACGGTTCAGCATGGTGATGCCAAGGATGTTACTATTGGGGATGATGGGTTGTTGAGGATGCAGGGTCGGATTTGTGTGCCTAATGTATATGGGCTAAGTGAGTTGATTCTTGAGGAGGCCCACAGTTTGCGGTATTCCATTCATCCGGGTGCTGCAAAGATGTATCAGGACTTGAGGCAGCATTATTGGTAGAGGAGGATGAAGAAGGATATAATGGGGTTTGTATCTCGGTGCCTAAATTATCAGCAGGTGAATTATGAGCATCAGATACCAGGCGGATTACTTCAGAGGCTTGAGATTCCAGAGTGGAAATGGATTTTGTAGTTGGACTCCTACGGACTTCGAGGAAGTTTGATGTTATTTGGGTGATTGTGGATCGGTTGACCTAGTCCACGCATTTTATTCCGATTGGGACTACTTATTCTTCAGAGCGGTTGGCCAAGATCTACATCCGCGAGATTGTTCGCCTTCACGGTGTGCTGGTGTCCATCATTTCAGATCCGGGCACGCGATTTACATCATAATTTTGAAGAGCGGTGCAGCGAGAGTTATGCACGTAGGTTGAGTTGAGTACAACATTTCACCCTCAGACGGACGGACAGTCCAAGCGCACTATTCAGATATTGAAGGACATGTTACGCGTTTGTGTCATAGATTTCGGGGGTTCTTGGGATCAGTTCCTGCCGCTTGCAGAGTTTGCCTATAGCAGAAGCTACCGATCGAGCATTCAGATGGCTTTGTATGAGGATTTGTATGGGAGACGGTGTCGATCTCCGGTAGGGTGGTTTGAATCGGGCAAGGCTAGGCTATTGAGTACAGACTTGGTTCAAGATGCTTTGGACAAGGTTAAATTGATTCAGGATCGACTTCGCACGACGCAGTCTAAACAGAAGAGTTGCGCCGATCAGAAGATTTGTGATGTTGCTTATGTGGTTGGGGAGAAGGTACTGCTCAAGGTTTCACCCATGAAGGGTGTTATGAGGTTCGGGAATAAGGACAAGTTGAGCCCTTGGTATATTGGTCCGTTTGAGGTGCTTCAGAGGATTGGGGAGGTGGCTTACAAGCTTGCCTTTCCGCCTAGTCTTTCGAGTGTTCATTCAGTGTTTTATGTTTTTATGCTCCGGAAGTATGTCAGCGATCCGTCTCATATTTTGGATTTCAGCCCGGTTTAGTAGGATTGTGATTTGACTTATGATGTGGAGTCGGTGGCCATTTTGGATCGGCAGGTTCGAAAGTTGAGGTCACAAGACATAGCTCCAGTGAAGGTGCAGTGGAAAGGTTAGCCAGTGGAGGAGGCTATTTGGGAGACCGAGCGGGAGATGCAGAGCAGATATCCATGCCTTTTTGAGACTCCAGGTACATTTCTAGATCCGTTCAAGGACGAACGTTTGTTTAAGAGGGGGAGGATGTAACGACCTAGCAGATCGTTTTAAGTATTGTAGCCTCGTTCCCCCATTTACTGCTCATTCTATGCTAAATTGTTGTTGTGGGACTTGCCGGAGTAGTTGATTCGGTTCCGGGGATGTTTCGGAATACGATGAGACACTTAGTCTCAAGGTTGTAAGCTTAAGTTAAAAAGGTTAACTAGATATTGACTTATGTGTAAACGACTTTGGAATGGGGTTTTGATAGCTCCTATAGTTCTGTTTGTTGATTTTGAACTTAGGAGTGTGTCCGGATAGTGATTTTGAGGTCCGTAGTTGATTTAGGCTTGAAATGGCGAAAGTTGGAAAAATGAAAGTTTTGGAAATTGAGAAATTTGACCGAGAATTGACTTTGTGGTTATCGGGCTCGGATTTTGGTTCCATGAGTTGGAGTCAGTCCGTTGTATCATTTATGACTTGTGTGTAAAATTTGAGGTCAATCGGACTTGATTTGATAGGTTTCGGCATCGATTGTAGAAGTTGGAATTTCTTAGTTTTCATTAGGCTTGAATTGGGGTGTGATTCATGTTTTTGATGTTGTTTGATATGATTTGAGACCTTGACTAAGTTTGTATCGTGTTTTAGGACTTGTTGGTATGTTTGGTTGAGGTCCCGGGGGACTCGGGTGGAGCTCGGATGGTTAACATATCAAAGTTTGGAATTTAAAGACTGCTGAAGGTTGTTGATATCCAGGTCCGGTTTCCTTCTATGCGATCGCATAGATAGGTTCGGGATCGTAAAGGCTTGTTTTGGGGTAGCTGGGAATTTTACCCTATGCATTCGCGGGCAGAAGTATGTGAACGCGTAGATTGGTCAGACAGTGCATCACGAACGCGTGGGCGGAGCCGCGTTCTCGAAGAGGAAAGGAGGCAAGAGTTGGTCACGTGCGTTGCTCTATGCGAACGTATGGGTGTTCACACGATCGCGTAGGTCTGGAGAAGTGGTGCATCGTGTTCCCGTGGACTTGTCCGTGTTCGCATAAGGTTAAATTGTGGGGTAGCATAGTTGTGCTTCGCGATCGCGAAGCATTATCCGCGATCGGGATTGTTTTGTTTTAGTAAATAGACCACCATGCATGCTGCCTAGTAGTTTTTATATTTAATAATTCCCAAATTGGGTCAAACTTATACATTGTTCAAATAAAACACGCACAAGAAAACGAAAAAAAAAAAAGCAAATGCCAATTGCTACCAAATACAATGTAGCAGTAGCGTAAAGATAGATGGCAAGTACAAAGGTAGTAATTTGAAACGTCCAAATATTGCCGACGAAAATGAATTCACACACCAATTGCAAACAATTTGTTGTAGCACCTACAAATCTCTCACTAGGCACCATTTGTTGCAATCCAAAAGAGTAGGTATGTACAAATCCATAAGTTCTAAAGCAAAGCATTTCAGACATCTTCACTTTGGGGCTGAAGTCCTCCGGCAGCATTGTTGATATAGAACACTTGCATTTGATATTTCTTTGCTTTAGATCCAGTTTACTGCGGTATATTTTGACAAACATCCCAACTACGTGGAAATGACTCTTATCCAGATATTCGTTGAAGTGCCATAAGATGTCCAACGCATCTAGTGAATGAATATCCCTTTGTTGTATACTGAAAGGTTCGAAATAACAGAGGCAGTTGTCAGGTGTTGTGCAAATACAATAAAGCTTGTTGTTCCTGTGAAGTTTTTCTCTGTTGATGTAGTTGTAGAAGCTCACTTGCAGTTGTGTCCTCAATGAATACATATGTATTAGTGCTTGCGATACCCTACAGTGTACCAAGATATGTAGATCAAAGTAAGGATAGCTTTCAGTTTTTTGAATCTATTAGAAAATGAGATCTTCACTGTTGAAGTACTGATGTTGTAATATGTTGAACAATCCCCACAATGAGCATGTTAACATTGTAATACCACTGGGAATTGATACAACAAGAGACAGAAAGTCAATATCTTCAAAACAAAAGGAGCTGGAGTAGTGTGTGGTCCAGAAACAGTACTGATCCATATTGCTGTGAATTATGGCTTCAATGTTCTTGCAGTTGTAGTAGTACAGGATGATTTCTGTGAAATTTTGGTCTGTTGTTGTAATTATTGAAGTAATATTGCAGTTTCAGGGTCTTATGAGTTTGTGCTGCTGAACTCAAAAAATATTGCAGATGCCTCTAGAGTATGAGCTTATATCCGGATCCTGCAAAATGTAGCAAACAAGTTATGAAGAAAGATTGCTCTCCCAAGTTCTTGTGTGTCCTGGGAGCACTAACAAGGGCTAGGTTGTAAGTGATGGAAGAATGATGTGGATGTTGTATCTGGCTTGAATTACGTATATTAACATAATTCAGGTGGATTAGGGGAAGCAGTTGGGTATTGGTGGAAGCATCAGAATGCTTCTGAGGGGTTATTTTTGGAGCAGCTATAGCATTGAGAAAAAGTGGTCGTGTGAGTGATGTATGTCTGAAGTTCATATGTTGCATTTGGTGTTTCTGCAGTGTGTATTTAACTGGTATAGAGATGCAGCAAGCTTGTAAGAATGAGGATATGAGAAGCCATGGTTTTCTATTTCTTTCAGTGATCTGTTGAGCCACTCTTTGCTGGTTCTTCTGATTTGTAGGAAGCACTTATTGTCTGCAACTGGTTGGTGCTTTTGACAATTGATGTCGCCTCAGTAGATTTAACATTTTAAATATTGATACCACACGCTGAGGGTACCTCAGTAGTGCAAGTATAGCATAGGAATGATGTCTTCTGGAAGTAACGAAGAAGATTGTGTTGTGATTAATGATGGAATACCGCTAAAGATGTCTGGTTAGTAAGGTGTAGTAGTATGTATACAAACAACTCCCAAAATCATACAATACCTCCTCAAACCACAGCAGCAAAATTCCATGTGTTGCAATGTAGCCTGGTTGACATCTTGACGGACATGATGGGGAAGTAATAACAATACCATGGAAGAAGCAGTAGATGACAAACGTTGGTATATGGTTGTGCATTAGCATCTATAACCAACAAGTACAGTGTCTTACAATACTCCGATGCATCAACCACACAAAGTGCATTAAATAAAACCAATATCAATTTGTATGGAGGCATATCAATACAGAGTGTTACGGATTGTTGTCTAAGATATGAAGTCAGTAGTTACAGATGTTGAAAATGTATGTCATGGTACGGATCTGCTGTTTCTTGCCACTCTAATCCTCAGAATTGGTATTTGGCTCTTGTCGTAATTGATTATTGACCTACCAGCAGCAGGGAAGTCATAGAAAGATTTAAATTCTAGTATACCTGCAAAAAAGAACACTAAATTAGCTAAAAAAATCCGCCACTGCATTGCCTTCCCTGAAGACATGCTGAAGAATGACATTGAACTGCCCTTTATTTCATTAATCTTCCTCAGTTCTTTGCTGATACTCCAAGGAACTGCCCATTGACCTTCAATAATCTTTTTTAAGTCCAGTGAGTCAGTTTCAGTTATCAGAGGATGCAGCTGATTTTGAAAACAGTACAATATGCCTTCCATTAATGCCTTTGCCTCAGCGACCAAACTTGTTGATACCCCTATCTGCCCTGCCTTCGCAAATATAACATCCCTTGTAGAATCTCTTACGCAAAAACCGTAGGAGCTTAGTCCTGGATTTCCTCGATGAGCCCCATCAGTATTGTATTTGAACCATCTTGCATCGGGCATCTGCCAGGTAACTCTTCTAGTAATAATAATTGATTTATAAGCTTCAAAAAACTTAATCTTATATGTCCACTGTAAAGGTATATTTTGCATCCAATTGTACCTTACTTTAGCCAGATAATGTAGAGTATTATTAACCCCATGCACTACCATATTGAATGAAGTAGCTTTTCCTCCATGCTTAATTGTGTTCCTCCTTATCCATAGTTATCATGAAATAATTGTTGGGGTTGCCTGGTATAGTGGCCTTAACTTTGGATAACATTCAGCATTCCACCATGCTCTAATCACTTGATGAAGCTGTATCAAATTGACCATAATTTTAGCAGCATGTAAGAAGACCTTCCACACTCTTGATACAGTTGAATTTGTGAGGAAAATATGGTTCAAGGTTTCTTCATGTGGGGGAAAGCAACACCAACATTTTGAAGCCATATGATAACCATCTCTTCTCCACAAATCATCTGTTGGAATCTTTCCTCTCCATAATCGCCATAAGAAAAATCTTATTTTGAATGGTAGGCCCTTAGTCCAAAGGTTTTTTTGTTCATGATTAGTTGGTTCCCTATGCCTCACAATGTTCCATGCACTACTAACTGTAAATTTACCTAAAGTCATTGGCATCCATTTAGGTGTATCCCATTTTGCATCAATATCATCAAAGCAAATTTCTTGCCTTATGTGATATGTTATATCTTCTGGAAATGTATGATGCAGCAACTGATCATCCCATCCATTTTCTGTTCTCAACTGTGTCACCTCATGGAGTTCTTCATTGATGTTGAAATCTGGAGGTACAACATGGTATATTGCTCCAATACCAGTCCAATTTTCATGCCAGACATTTGTAGAGCCTCTATTCATTTGCCAGAGTACTTCATGCTCCACCTCTTCCCTAGATTTTAATATTTTCCTCCAAACATGTGATCCATCTTTGAATTGTACTAATGTAGGGATTTTCTTCTTGCAGTATTTATTCCACGTGAAATTGGACCACAAAGACTTAGGAGTTCTGAAATTCCACCATAATTTTGCAAACAACGATCTTAAAAGATCAAATAGAGACCTGAAACCTAATCCGCCTTCTTCCTTTGGCAGACACAAGTTTAGCCACTTTGTCTAGTGCCTACTTCTGCTTTCTTCATTAGTACTCCAGAAGAATCTAGCGAACATCTTTTGTAAGTATTCTAGAACATTGTTAGGAGGATCCAAGACTGACATAATGTGTGTAGGTAAACTTTGAAGCACATTGGTTATAAGTGTAGTCTTACCCCCAATGGACAGTATTTTCCCTTTGTAGGGGTGTAGTTTTGCCTTCACCTTACTTGTGAGATCGTTATAATAGTCCTTCATTCTCCTTGTGTAGAACATTGGGCATCCTAAGTATGTGAATGGGAAGGACCCCTTTTGGAAACTAGTTATAGAGCCAACAGAATCAGATAAGTTCCTTCTTACCTTTGTATGCATGTAGTAAGAGCATTTTGATTTGTTGATTAGTTGCCTAGAGATCTGTTCGTACTTTGTGAGTACTTCCATTACTTTATGTAATGAGTATAGGTCCGCAGATGAAAAGATTATTGTATCATTTGCATAAGACAAGTGGTTTAAAGGATCTGTCCACTTTGGCATTTCAAATCCAATGAAATTCCTGTCTAAGAACAGCTTATTCAGTGATCTTAATAGGACCTCTGCTGATAGAATGAATAATGTAGGAGACAAAGGATCTCCTTGCTTCATCCCTCTACTGGATTTGAAAAACCCTGATGTTTGCCCGTTGATTAGCACTAAATACCAATTGTGGATCAATAAGTTTCCTATCATGTTGATGAAATGCTCAGCAAATCCCATTTTCCTCAAAACCTTTAGTAAATATTTCCAATTAACACTGTCATATGCCTTTGCCATATCAAGCTTGATTACCATATTTTTTGGTTTCCCATTCATCCTTATATCAGTGATGATTTCTTGTGTGAGCAGGATATTTTCAAAGATACTCCTTCCTTTCACAAAGCCAGATTGGTTTGGAGAAATCAAGGATGGTAATACCTTCTCCATTCTGTCATGTAATACCCTAGATATGACCTTGTTGATAAAATTACTAAGACTGATGGGTCTTAGATCTGAGAAGGTTTGTACTTGTGGTTTCTTAGGCAGTAACACCAAGTTAGTGTGTGTTATGGATTTTGGTAGTGAAGCCCCTCCATAAATATCTTGAACCATCATAAAGATGTCTGCGCCCACAATGTTCCAACACTTTTGGTAGAATAATCCAGTGAAACCATCAGGTCCACTTGTACTATCACCAGACAATGCGAAAATTGCTTTCTTTACTTCTTCTAGAGTAGGATATCTGCATAGCTCTGAGTTCTGATAAGTTGTTACCATTGAAGGTACATTGTTAAGAAGTTCAAAGAATGTAGTATCACTTTCTTGTGTAAATTGGTTCTTGAAAAACTCTACAGCAACAGTAGCCATAAGATCATGGCTTTCAAGCTAATTCCCATCTTCGTTCTGAATCTTTTTGAGTTTCAGTTTCTGTCACTTACCATTTACATGATTGTGAAAACATCTTGTGTTTCTATCACCTTCAGCAAACCAGTTCAATCCTGCCTTTTGTTTCCAGTATTGCTCTTCAATGCTCAGGTATTTTTTCAGTTCAGCATGTGCTTGTTGAAGGACAATCCTATTTTGAATTGTTGGTTCCTCCTCAAATAGAATCTCCTTAACTCTGACAATATCTTCCCTAATAGCAAGTTGTTTGAAGATATCCCCAAAAGTAAGTTTACTCCATTGTGAAAGTGTTGATTTTAGTCTCTTTAATTTCTGTTTGAACATCAAGAAAGGATCACCAATAAAATTAGTCACCCATTTTTGCCTCACCACTTCTGTGAAAGTGTCATGAGTAGCCCAGAAGTTAAGGAACTTAAAATGCTTAACAAATTGCATAGCTTCATGTCCACAACTCATCAACAATGGTGCATGATCAGAGCATGTCCTTATCAGATATTGAACTTCTATATTTGGGAAGAGATTCTGGTAAGAGAGGTTGACAAAGATCCTATCAAGCCGCTTGAAGATGCATTGGTCATTTGGTCGACCATTCCACCAAGTGAAAGGGCTGCCATTATATCCAATGTCAAACAAACCACAAGAATTCACACATAAGGCAAAGTCTTCGTATTCAGGGGGGTATACTGGAAGACCTCCTATCTTTTCATCTTCATGTAAGACCACATTGAAATCACCTCCAACTATCCAAGGCATATCGATATCAGCTGCTAAGTAATATAGATAGTCCCATAGTTCTAGTCTTTAAAGCGATGAACATTTGGCATACACGAAGGTCATTATGATATGCTTTCCTATGTCCTGATGGAAAACCTTTACAATAACTTATTGCTCAGTGTCCATAAGTAATTCCCACTCTACAACTGCCTCAAAGAACAACCAAATATTTCCATTGATGTTTGACATAACAGTTTCCATTCCTAGTCTTCTTCTGTATATTTGGATATGTCTGCTATCCTCGAAAGGTTCCATCAGTGCAACAATTGAAAACTTGTGTTCTCTTTACATATTGATCAATCTCTAAAAAGAATGTTGTGTGTTCACAGACTTGATGTTCCAGATGAGATACTTTAACATTATTTGGTTTGTGAAACTGCCCTTCTAGGCAAGATCCTCTTTGGTTGTTGAACCTCTTTGTATTGAACTTGTTTCCTTGCTTTCTTACCAGATTTTCCCCCTACCCTAGGTGATAAATCAGCTTTCATTGCTACTTCCCTGAAGTTGCCAACTGTAGATTCATCATCATCTTCCTCTTGAACTTGTTCAAAGTCCATTATTGCCTTCTGAGTGTTAACTGGTGCGACAATATGAGTTACAAGATCATGAAGGATTTGTGTAGGTGTTTTCAATGGAATATTGAGCTGTATCTATAGGGGTTGCCCAGTATCAGAAGCACATGGCGGAGGAATTGTATCAATGGCACTTTCCTAGTGTGGTATCAATGCATGGTGAGCATCTGTTCCAGTTGTCTCCTTCAGCACTAAAGAATATTGATCTTGTAAAACCTCTACCTCAGGACTATGGATATTAAAAGCTTTTTCTGTCTGTGTACTACATCTTTGTTTTTCAAGTCTTAGACTTGTATTTGTGTCAGATCTGGACACTGGATTCTAGAATTCATCACTGCAAAATTGATTAGCAACTCTAGTGGCTCCTGTTGAATTTGGAGATTCCATAAAAGTCTGAGAGGGAATTTCCTGACATGAATGATTCAATGTAACATTTATTGCTTCCTTTGGTGTCCCAAATGTCTCCTGAACCCAGTCTACTGTCCTTACATTTGTAGATGTCCCCATTATTCTAGTAGCAGCTGCAGTTGGGCTCTTACTACTTTCAGCACCTTTAAGGTTGTAGCTTTTATTATCAGTACTCCTAAATTCCTGGATATGCTCAATGACATTGGATTCCATTAATTGATGCATCTGTTGTTCATGTATATTCTTGTCCCTTTGTTTGATATTAGAACTAGTTGCCAAACTTGTTTGACATTCCGCACTTTGTTCTGGTTCTAGTTATTGTTTCTGGCAGCCTTGCTTGATATCTTGTCCATACTATGATGAGCATTTTCAGCAGCAATCCCATGAATCGATAGAGAATCACCCACACCCTTTGGATTTCCAGCATTATGAAGCTTAGTATTTTCCTGATCATCAACTCTTTCACCATCAACTTCATCAGCATGTATGTGGGAATTTGAAATGGGATCTTGCACGATGTCCTGGGCAGCTTGAGGGGAATGTTGTTATTTTTGGTCAGTAACTGAGGAGTGGTGTTGCTTGGTTACCTACGCATGGACTACTTATTCTATAGACTGTTTGAATTTAGGTTGCTTGTTTCTTTGGTTGACACCCTTGAAATTCTTCTTCTTTTGTGTATGTCATTGATCTTTGGATTGATTATCCCTACTCGTGTGATTTGAAGAAGAGTTTTGAATTATTCCTCCTAATTGTTGCTCACTTTGGTGCTGCTCCCCCATTTTCCTCGGAACTGTGGTTCTTGTGATGTTCTTGTGAAACCTGGCTCTGATCAACTTGTGCTCCAGTAGTGTTTACCTTTATGTTTGTACTTTGATTTTCATTTCTATTGGTTTCCTCTTCTACTGCTTTTCTTTTTTCCTCATCTTCTCTTTTCTTGATAGCACAGAAATATTCTTCATGTCCCAGGTGTTTGCATTGTAAGTAGTATGTAGGTAGATCCTCGTACACAACTTCCAACCATTGTCCATCCCCATTGACATCTTGATCTTCGTCAAAGCCAAGCCACACATGATGAGGTCTTTCTTGAGTTAAGTCCACCTGCATCTTTACCTTTGCAACACTCCCTCTTGCTTTTTGCATTGAGGCAAGGTCAAGGTGTAAAATCTTACTAATAGGTGATAACAAAACCGATAAGAGCTCTCTGTAGTAGAAATGCCACAGAAGTTCAGGTATCACTATCCAAACTGGGACAGTAGGATTATCCTCAGTAGGATTAAATGTGGGAGTCCATGCTTGCAGATCCATTCTTTGTCCCTGAATGTACATGAATTTTTTTGTCCACACAGTGGTGTGATCAAATTCATTGTCTAGGTCAATATAGATTGTCCTAGCATTGAAATGGACTATCTTAACTCCTCATCTTAGTTCACTTTAAGCTATAAAGTTTCTCCTTATCCGTTCCATTCTAGGCATTGTGTTGAGAAACTTGCCTACTATAGTGTACTGGCATTTGTTGGCGAGGGTGACCATATAGTCATCCCTTGTAAAGATAGCAGTTGGTTACCCATATTTCGTAGTTATTTTTGGTGGTGTAAACTCTATTGGGGCTAGTATTGCAATTTTCCTGGCTCTTAAGGATTGTGTGATAGTGGGAGGTGGGGGAAAAGGGTAAGCATCTGGTTTTTTTGGTTAGTTGTTGGTATCTTTATGAGAAGCAGTGAAGTTAATATTTTGAAGGTTGGGAGTAGTATCTGATAAGATGATTAGATTCTGGACAATTTGTCTAGGAATTACACTTGGGTTAATTGGCATAGTGTGTTTTGGTTTGTCAAAATTGGTTGAGATCTTTGGGTATGTGTGTGTTGCTGGAGTAGATGTGGTTTGTGTGTTTATGTGGGCTGGTTGGGATGCTTGAGTTGTGTGTTTATTCAACTGTGTATTAGATGCTACAATATTAGTGTCTGGCTTATTTTTTCCTTGAGGCTTAATGTTGTGTGATGGGGCAGCATTTACCTGAGCAGTAGGTAACTTTCCAAGGAGCGGTTGCGAAGTTTGAGCCTCTGCAGAACTGAGGTCGACTAACTGTGTAGTCTGCTGAGAATGCAAATTATGAGCATCATTTTCTTTACCTGATTCTTACCATGTAACTTGACGAATGTGTTCCTTTGGACGTTGGAATGGAGGATCAGTTGAATGTCCCTTGAATGGCCCAGTGGAAGTGGTTGTTGCAATTCGTCGAATAGGTGGAGCAGTAGAATCCGCATGAATGGTTTTCTTCGATGTTATGGTAATTGGGTTAGTGGAATTGTCAAGTAGAGGGTTGTTTAGTAGCTTCTCATCAACACGAACTGATTGATCTTGCTTTCTAGCCGTCTGACCCGTCGTAACACCATGTCCGACCATCTGGAGCTCGTTTGGGTGTTGTAGAGCGTCAGACTTGCTCACATCGGCGTTGGGATTTGTAGATTGTTGGTGAAGATGTAACTCTTGAGCTTGAGTACACTCTCCATATATTTGAATTGCACGATTTGGTCCAGAATTGTCCTGGGGTTGTTCGTTGGAACCCAGTCGCATATGTGCTACAGTAATCGGGTTAATTTTTTGAAGAGTTGCAATAGTTGGGGACAGATTTTTTAATGAAATGTCTTGTGTAGTATGTGTCGCCTCTATGGGAGTATTTTGCGAAAGGTCCGGTGGTTTTTGGCCACCGGACAGTGGAACAAATGCCATAAAGGCAGGGAATGCCTACTGTTGAATTAAATCGCCTTGCTAGAGAGAAAACGACGGATTTTTTCATATCCGGGAAGAACTTAAATATTTCAAAAACGAGGGTTTGATTTCATATCACAAATTTGATTTTGGGAGCTCGGTTGGAGGCGATTCTTAGAGAGATTTTCAAGGGAGTGATTGGAGTAAGTGATTCTTACTTAGTTTTGGTTAAATTCCATGATTATATCTTTGATTTCATCATTCAATTAATGATTTGGGTTGAGAAATTGGGGGAAATGGAGGAAACTTCTTGGGCCGAATTTTGGGAATTTGAGCGAGATTTTGATATCGGATTTGAGTAATTTTTGTATGGTTGGATTCGTGGTTGAATGGGTGTTCAGATTTTGTAACTTTTATCGGATTCCAAGACGTGGGCTCAGGGGTTCACTTTTGAGTTGACTTTTTGATTTTTGATTAAGAACTTAGTATTTTCTTATGAAATTGATTCATTTAGCTCGTATTGATTGTATCGAATTGTTTGTGGCTAGATTCGAGGCATTCAGAGGCCGATTCACGAGGCAAGGGCTTGTTGGAGTAGAGATTTGCTCAGTTTGAGGTAAGTAACACTTCTAAACTTGGTTCTTAGGGTATGAAACCCCGAGCTACGTGTTATGTGATTGGTGTTGAGGTGACGCACATGCTAGGTGATGGGCGTGTGGGAGTGCACCGTAGGAATTGCGACTTGGTCGATTCTGTGGAACTGTATAGTTGCATGATCTTGTTGATATCCGTATATTCTCCATGTGTTAGATAAATTGAGTTGTCGGTCATGGTAGAAATTATGCTTAGGCTACATGCTTGTACTATTGGGACCCACTGAGGTCGTGTTGCATGTTGAATTATTTGCTTAATTTGTAACTATGTACTCAGTCACAACTATTATTTGCATGTCATATCTCAGCCTCTATTGCTATTTATTGATACATCATATCATCATTGTTTGGGGCCGATTATCATGTTTTTTATGAGACTGAGAGACTGGAGAGATTGATGACTGAGTGAGGCCGAGGGCTTGATTGTGAGGATATTTATGGGATCGGGATGCACAACGCAACATGTTTTATTGATTCATGCCATGATTGGCTTACTATAGCATTTGGGTTGGATTTTCCCTCCGAAGTCTGCACACCCACAGTGAGCGCAGGTACCTACTGAGTGCGAGTGTCGAGCGCGAGTGCTGAGTGACTGTGAGGAATGAGTGATTGTGAGGATGGAGTAAATGTGAGGACCGAGTGATTGATACTATGAGAGTATGCATATAATTTCATCACTGTTTTGTACTCCAGTTGGCATACGTAAGACATGCAGATATCGAGATGCATCATTTCTTATCTCAGTTGTATATGGAATATCCTACCTGTTTGGGCTTTATCTGTTAAATTTCGAAGCATGTCTATCTTTCTGTATCGTATTTCTGTAATTGAACTGTACCATGTGAAGCTCGTCACTACTTTCATCCCAATAGTTAGACTTGTTACTTATTGAGTTGGTTGTACTCACGCTACACTCTGTACTTCGTGTGCATACCCAAGTGTTTCTGAACACGGTGGGTGCTGATTCTCAGAGTTGTCCAGTCATACGGAGATTTTCGAGGTAGTTGCTCTGGCGTCCGCAGACCTTGACCCTCCTCCCCTATTCTTCAGTTTTATTTATTCAGTTTCTACTTCTTAGACAGTGTATCAGACTTTGTATTTGGTATAGATGCTCATGTACTCGGTGACACCCTAGTTTTGGGAAACTTTTGTATTGAGTTGTGACGGTTCTTATTAGTTTCTCTGAGGTTTTTCTTATTTAAACATGTTTTAGTACATTTAAAATTTGAAAGTGTTGGAAATGTCTGAGTTGTCGGCTTGCCTAGTACCATGATAGGCGTCATCATGACAGGTTGGATTTTGGATCGTGACAATCATGGAGTATCATAAATCAAATCCTATGTCTTACCCTCATTGTTTGCTGGGACTTACTCTCGAGCCTTACAAATATTACCACTTCATAGTGATCATTTAATATTTTTCCCAGTAACTTTTCTTAGAGTTCGCATGGATCATTTCCATGAACAGCAATATATGACATGGTTAAATATAAATGAGATAGTACACTCTTAGACATATTGATCGCAGTCATGAATTTAAATGTGGTAGAAGCATGGCTATCTAGAAAGGTCTTTGTACTAAAATAGAATGTTATAAAATTTCACTATCAATCTTTGAAAAATTAAGAAAAATAACTCTCGCCTGATGCTTTTCCAGATCATAATTAGGATAAATAAATTAAATAATTATCCACCAAGATAACCAAAGACTAGTATTTTAGATTACAATTATCTAGTCATTATATGCTGATAATTCACATAATGCATACCTCAATGATTTGCAAGCCACATTAATTACTGTACAGAGAGAGGTAGGCAAACTAGAGTTTAGAGCCACCTCGATTCCTCGATTCGGAATATCGGAATATCAACCGGATCAGAACTAGAATCCTAAAGTGACTTCGGAACAGGTTCAAGAGCTTCGATCGAAAACCTTTCCTATCAGACAGAATAAGCTCTTACTGTTCTAGAAAGAACTTCCCTTGACTCAAAGTATTGAGCCACGTAAATCAACCCCAAAGCTAAAGGAGTCCTTTTAGGATGAGGTTGATGCTTTTATAAGTCTTGATCGGAGCCTGGTCTAGGATCGAGAATTTTCCCTCTAACACTTCCTCCCCTCTTTGTGTGGAAAAGTTTCTGAAAGCCTATTAGTTAGTATTAGTAAAAAAACCTAGTTAAGGGGTCCGTAGTTGTCGCAATCGCTCATTGGTCTTCACCGGCTTTGCCAGCTGCCTGTGATAGGAAAAAAGGGTGCATTGCCTCTTAAGTGAAGAAGAGAGGGGCTTTGTATAGACACTCTTGAGCCATGTTCGTCGCTCTAGGCTTACCATTATTTTATTTCATTCTAAACTCCTAAATTTGCTACTTGAAGAGCAAAATCTTTCTCAAATTCTAGAGAGATCTCCTTATTCGAACATTAGGAAAGAAGCTTATCACTTTCTGGAGGACAAACTACGTTTTTTCTCGATGTGGACCAAGCTCCGACTTCCTTTTTAGCTTTGGCTCGGAAGAGGTCGGCCTCCTGCTTTCCCACCCATCGTAAACTCTTACTACTTAATATAATGGAAACACGATAAAATCTTATATCAGAACGACTTCTGGTATCACCAGAAGGATCGAAACCACATTCGCAGGCCAATAATTTTTCTGGATATGTCGAACTATTGGAAGAAAGGAAATAAAATTAGATATTCACTAGGAGCGGCATATGAATATATTTCACTAAGACAAGTGAAATGTCCTTCCCAAATTTCATTAGCTCTAAAGAAATCAGTTACTGAGAAATATTTAACTCGGTGAATTAATGCCTATTATATCCTTTATTGTGAGAGCATAATGGGTACTTTGAATACAAAACATGAAAGCGACTAGTTTATGAATTCAAATTTCAACCCATCAAACAAATAAAATTAACATATACCAGAAATCAACATGATGTATAGAAAAAATAGTTATCGGTCTCTATACTTAGAACATGAGACCATGTGAACCACAGTTTGACATATCTCCTTTCCTAAACACCATTTTCTTATTCGACAAAAACCATCTTATTTTCTATAGTCCAAGGTAAGAAAACTTTGCTTCGAAAGCTAACATATGAACGTTCATGTTCCTGCAAAATATAATTGTATTATCGTGTAATATAAATTATACCAAGCCTTAAATCTCAAAATAATTTAAAATTAGAATGCATAGTAAATTGACTCCCTGGACAATAGAAGCAAACTGATTAACACGTGGACGTATCCGCAACAAGTTAAATCAGTTTCGAATATGCCAATTTAACCATGCATCTCTTCTATCTTCTTTAATAGAAACTCGTGCTGATAACGTGTTAAAAAACTAAGCTCAAAGTAATATAAGAACGATAAAATAGACAAGAGATATAGAGGGGAAAGAGATGAGAGATTCTTATTTCTTCTATGTGCTCAAGTGTTTTCCAAGTGTGTACAATGTGATGTTCAAACCCTCTATTTATACAATGATATTGAGATAATGTAAAGGGATGTCATGAACATTGCAGTAACTATTAAGATCATGAGGGAAGATCATGGAGTAAGTTATGAAGGTGTGAGAGTTACAATTATAATGGTAAGAAGTAGTGTGAGGTTAATGGAGAAGAGTAGTGGGAGTAACTTCTTTAGGAGTTATAGACATCCACTACATAATATAATATTTCATAACAAAAACAAGACAAGAGTGGGTTGCTCTCATAACAAATTCAACTTTCTATTTTTATTTAATAAAGGTAAAATTCTAAGTTTTTATATTATGCACAATATACCTTTTTAAAAATATTTAACGAGGCAAACATGATAAATAAAAAGAAATATGTACGGACTAATCCTACAATCCGCACATTAATAAGTACGGAGAAAATGACACTTTTTAGTCGTTCTCAAAATAATAACCGAATATGTATGTATACATATATATATGTATATATATATATATATATATATATACATATATACATATATATATGTATATATATATATACATATATATATATGTATATATATATATACATAAAAAAAATATAAATTTTATATACTTTTGCGATTATCGAATGTAAATAATTTCAGCCGCGAACTAAAAGTGATATTTGTCATTATTAATTTATTGAAGGAAAAAAAAAAAAAGGAATTATTAGTTTCTTTTTCCCATTTAAAGGAATAGTTATAGCAGTAACCCCAACTCAAGCCGGGTTCCGGTGGTCTATCATAAAGTCAAAAGCCCTATCAACCCGTCGATAATTGGGGATTTGGGGGATTAGGGTTTATATCTGCTCGGTTCTTCCGCCCTGAAACCATTTCCGTCAGTTTGGAAGAAACGAGCTATCGAATCAAATGGGTAAGCTGGAGAAGAAGGAGAAATCTGAAGCCATAGACGAAGAAGAATCAAATTCCCAACCCGATTTGATGCGCAGCGAGGAGGAAAAAGAAGAAAATGAAGATGCGGAGGCTAACGAGGATCTCAGCTTGAAAATCGTAGAGAAGGCCATGTTACGGGTATGTTCTAATGTCACTGACGAGGAAGAATCCGACATTTTGACAAATAGCAAGAAGAAAAAGGACAAAAATATTGTGACCAAAGAGGATCCTGTGAGTTTGAATTTTGTTGAAAATTGATTAATCTTTTATGTTGCTATTAATTGTAAGGACAAAAATATAAGTACTTTATTTGGATCGAGAATCGCCGGGGGAAGCATGTTTTTTTGCAGCATTTAGAAGTGAAACATATTGTACTTACTAATAAAATAAAATGTTTTTTCGGGTGATTAATCGGATGTCGTTTTCAATTTTGATGTTTAGGTTTCAAGTGGAATAGACAAGGGTTTCAAAAGCTTCTGCAGCGATATGTTCCCGGTAGTCTGAAGTTGCCAGCTGTTAATTGGCGATTAGATTTTTGCAAGTTGCATATTACTGCTTGATTTTTGTTTGTTGTATTGTCAGTTTGCATGTTATCTTGGTGATAATGAAGGAAACATTAAAGTAACAGCTGAAAAGTTAGTTTAATAGGAAAAACCTTACATTTAAATGTAGAGAAACACCCTGTCACGACCTCATCAACTTGCAAGATGAGTAAAAATTTAAAAAGGAAAGACAAATTCTTTTCTATCCAAACCGTCAAATGGACGGGTTAGGCTAAATTTGGCAGGTTAAATTGGGTTGACTCATAAACGTGTTGGTTCATAACTCACCCAAAGTTTGCTCGGATTGAGATGAGTTGGGTCAATTCGGTGAAACAATACTCGGAACCTTATTATAATTTGTTTAATTACCATAACCAAACTAAAAAAAGACTGTTTTTCTTCATCATGGTGTTATATCGAACTTGAAAAACCTCAATACTTTCTTTGTCAATAATCAGTATGGCCGAAATTGATCGCAATGTTAGATAGGTTTATTTGGGTTGTGCTCAAATTGACGTACCATGAATATACTCCCAACCCAAGCTGCCCAAAGTTAGGTGGTTTACATTTTAATTATCTAAATGTGATGCCCCTACTCTTCGTGGAATAAATACTAATTACTACCACTTTAATTTCTGCTTTATGTTTCAGTTCCTTTTTGTTTTGACTTGCAAGGTTAAACTGTAGTTTGTTTTATATTAATTTGGAAGTTATTGAAAGTATCCCACTTGTGCGATTACACTGTGTTGTTGTTGTTGGAAATTATTGAAAGTATTGCTTGTGTCTTAGAAACCATAATATGGATTAAATGTTCAGCTTGTGATCTCTTACACTGCTATTTTCTTCTTCTTGAATGTGTTAGCAGTACAAAGTAAAGGAAGAACAAAATGCTGATACTACTATAGCTATGAATATTGATGATAGTGCAGCTGAAAAGACTCCTGTTGAGGTCCCTGACAATGCTGTTCTACGTAGGCTTCTTGTGAGTTGAAGTAATATGATTTGCAGTGTTGTTTTTCGGTAATCCAAAAATGGCCTGGTTTGGTCCTACATCTTTATTATTCGCTACATGATCTCAGCGGGGCCCTAGGTACTTTGATGCTCCAGATAAGAGTTGGGGAACATGCTATAATTGTGGTGAAGAGGGTCATGCTGCAGTCAACTGTACTTCAGCTAGACGTAAGAAGCCATGTTTTGTTTGTGGGAGTTTCGAACATAATGCTAAACATTGCACAAAGGTTAGTGGAGAAAATTGCTTACTCTTCTATTTGAATATGTGACTCCATACTGCTCGTGCTATCTTAGTTCCACCTTATTAGTCTTCTCAACGGGAGATTATCATACTTGTATATTCTTATATTACCATTGAGGTAAATGAGCATTTTGGAAGTTTCCCTCCACACATATAAACCACAAATCTTTTGTAGAGAACCAAACAGACTGTGAAGTTATGCACATGGAATCTTCCACTAATAAGCCAAGCTGAAGATTCCTCGAACATGTGCTAATCCAAAGACCTAGGACCCTAGGCTCTGATGGGGAAAAAGAAGACAAACATCCTGAACTGCGTTTCATGATCTGAGCTCATGGTTAGAGTGCCTCTTATATATGCTTTTACGTGATTTGGACCCGTCTTAACAACCTTGTTAACACATTATTGTTGTATTTTGGACACTCATATTCGGAATTTTGTGTTTTGGACAAGTCATGAAGAAAATATTTGTGAAAGGATCTCTGAAATCATAATGATGATTGAATCTTAGCTCAGTGATTATGTTGCTGGATTTTTTCCTGGAGGTCAAGGTTTTGGCTTGCAAACTAGCTTTGCTAGGCATAGCTAAGTGGACAATTAGGCAACTGAGTTTTTCATACCTCTTTCACAAGGTTTGATGGCACTGTCTACCTTTTGCCATTATAGCGCATTAAGTTGTCTAAATTTGTGGTAAGGACTAAGGTCTGCGTACACACTATCTTCCCCAGACCCCACTTGTGGGATTGGATTGGTTTTTTTTTTTTTTTTGGTTGTTGTTGTTGTTGTTGTAAGCTGTCTAAATATGTACATGGACAGCTAATCCAAAAATTAAAGATTCTATTAGAAGCGTGTTATGGTGCAACTTTCCTGTCATCCTGCAGGATTTCTGCTTCCAATGGTAGGCTGGAATTTGCAAAAAAAAAATTGAGAATTATGATTTCAGTATTCTTGGTGTATCCTTTATATTTTTGCATTGAATGAGAGACTGCATTACAGGGTCTTATGGGAAAACCTCTTTTAGGTGAGGAGCTTGTTGTTTGTGTATATGATGCATAAAAAATGGTATTCACATGTATGTGTGGCTTTGTCCTGTCACTGTAACATATTTGGGCAGTATCATAATCGCATGTAAACCCTTATCTCTCTTCCCTTTTGTCCTTCCCTCTATCTCCCTTCTGTCTCCCTAATTATTGGAATGTGTTGGAGGAGTCCTTGTTTTAGGGTAGAGCCGTGCGAGCCTCAAAGCCCATTCAATCTAGATCTTTGATCTCCAGGAACTACAGAATTTTAAATTCTGTATAGCTGACCCCAGGTAGTATGGGATTGAGCAGTAGCTGATTGACTGATGGTTTAATCATGGATATGCCACTGTAGTGTCTTCAGTTCAATCAG